GCCCATTCCTCGATACATAGCCGCCTCCGGCGCCGGGAGGCGCCGGGAAAATCAGCTACGTGAGCTGATTCTCAAACCCCCCCTTTGTTATCCCCCCCTTTCGCCCGACCCGATATCTGCTTGACCTTCATGCTCCTAATCCTTTTCATTCCACTGGTCATCTGTGTTCTGGGAGTGACGGTGTGTATTGCAGTGTGGGTCGTTCTCGCCGCCTTGGTGGTCGTGTTCGTCGCGGCCTGCATTGGCGCCGTCGTGCTGTCAGTATGCATGCTGGGCTACGGCGCCGCCGTGCTCGTGAACAGGGCGATGGGGAAGGAGTTCAACCTGACCTGGCGCGAATTCCTGAGCATGTGGGGCACGCACCTCAGGGGCCTGCTCGTTGTCCTGATCCTCGGGTGGATGGCCGAGGGGTTGCGAGGCAGGCCTGGAGCTCGGGCCGGGCGACCGACGAAGCTGTCCGACCGCCTCGTCAGGTTCCTCAAGCTGCTGCGCCTGAATGTGGCGCTGGCCCTGGTGCTCCCGCTCGGGTGCGCCCTTCTGATCTGCGTGCGCCTGCGGCAGGACCCCGCTCCCCAGGAAGGGACAAGTTGCACGAGCATGAGCTCCAGGAAGACCGCGCGGGCCTGCGCTGGGCCCCCAGGGCGTGTGACGTGCGACTCGGCGGCGAGCGAGGGGGGGGAAGCGAGAAGGGGCGCACCCTCTCAGAAGGCATAGAAGGCCCTCGGCCTTCTGAGAAGTCTTCTAAGCCTCCCCAAGGACACAGAAAGCCTTTCGGAAGGCCGGAGGCCTTCCGAGAAGCCCCGCCGCCTTCTGAGAAGGCCTTCCCCTTCTCGGTTCCCTCCCTCGCTCGCCGTCGCGAACTGCGTGACGCTCGTTCTCCCCAGTTCGAGAAAGCCGTGCTGTGGGATAGTCGCCTGCGGCTGCAGCCTGCGACGCCTCTCTCGCCGCAAAGTCCAGAGGGCAGCAGCATGCGACGCGCCTCCGCGGGCCCAAGAATCATCCACGCGCAGAGCGGGGTAGGGGGAGGGGGGAGGGCTTCTTAGAAGCAACCCTGCTTCTTAGAAGGCGCGGGCCTCATCCATAGATGTGAAGGGCCGGCGCCCTCCAAGAAGCAGCCTCCTTCTAAGAAGCCCTCCCCCATACCCCTACCCCCTTGCGCGCGCCGCCAAAGGGAGGCCGCAGCAAATGGCCACTGTCTTCCCCAGGGCCCAGGGAGTGGCAACGTGTGGCACTTCTCTTCGCCAGGTCCCGTGCCAGGTCAAGGTCCGAAGCATCTCGTACCAGATCTCGTTCCAGGTCTCGTTCCAATTCAGAGACCTGGTCGCGCACCAATTCACGGACCTTGGCCTGGCACGGGACCTGGAGAAGAAAAGAGACAAGGCATCTCGTACCAGGCCTGGTTCTTCTTCTCCACAAGGCATCTCGTACCAGATCTCGTTCCAGGTCTCCAGGTCGCGCGCCAATGCACGGAAAGCGCCGTGCCTTGTGGTAGTTGTGCCTTGTCGGATCCAGCAACCCGTGAGATCGAAGACGTCTCTTGCGAGTCATTGCCGGTCCCCGTGGCCACAAACCTAAATCGGAGCATGTGGCCAGTTAGGGGGACCTCATGGGCTGGTCTCGGGGCCTCTTTGGCATTCTTTGCGAACGTCCTCCCATCCTGCACCGAACGACGTGGAGAGCAAGACGTGTTCACCACACCTTAGTGGTTTTCTGTTGACTCTCACCTCAAAGCTTCCTGATGAGGCATTTTTGGAGTTTCTCTGGACCTCCCAGACGCCTCTTGGGGCCTCTGGGGCGCCTCCTGCGGCATTTTGGAAGACTGATGATCGCATCTTGAGCCAATGTTGCGCTGTCTTGGCGGCTTTGGTTGCCTTCCAGGGGCCGTCTGGAAGCCGTCTTGGGCATCTTGGAAGCCTTGGGCAACGCCACAGGAAGCGTCGGCGCTCACAGGAAGCCTTGGCAGGGTGGTGGCGGTGGTGGTGCATACGTGTGGGCGCCATGATTCAGGCGATCGCGAACATGAATCAAGGGGGCGTGGATGAACGCTGGTTCCCATTTCCACGGGGAATCGCGGATTTCCGCCGCCGAGCGAGGCGGCACCGGCCGCATTTTGGGGAGGGCACCTTCCCGGATCCATGGATTTGGCGACCGCGCGCCAAATCCACGGATCGCTAATCCATGTTTGCGCGCCCCCCAATCATGGGCGCTCCAGACCGGACCTCGTCTTCCGGGGATCGAACGAGAAAGATTGGCATGAATCAGGAGGGGAAAAACACGCAGACACAATTCACCGTCGACTCCCAGGAAAATATGCAAAAATGTGGGAAGTGGGGGGGGAGACAGAATCCCAGAAAATATGGGGAAATATGGAGAATCTTTTTACATTTGCGCGTATTTATTTAATCGCTTCGCTTATTCCGCCGGCCCTGGAGCCCTCTTTAGGGCCTCTTGGGGACCTCTTGGGAGTCTCTTGGGGCTCCTTGGCGGCGTCTTGGGGGACCCCAGGGCCTCTTGGGGGGCTCTTGGGGGCCTCTTGGGGCGGGAGGGGGGGCAGTCGATTGCGGCTCCCCCCTCGGAGGCCACGATCCCCGTGAGGGGCGTCGAACAATTGCCCGGTCCGGCACCTCTGACCCGAGTCTGCCGGGACCCTGCCGGGGTACTTGTGTGTATGGATTTGTGTGTCCCAGGAGGAGGAGGAGGAGGAGGAGGAGGAGGAGGAGGAGGAGGAGGAGGAGGAGAGGAGGGAGGAGGAGGAGGAGGAGGGAGGAGGAGGAGGAGGAGGAGAGGAGGAGGAGGAGGAGGAGGAGGAGGAGGCATGAGCACGGCCTCGTCGGAGGCCCGCGCGGGCGCGCGGGCCCCGCGTGGGAGCCCCCCCCTTTGGGGCAGCGCCTCCGAAGCCTCCCCCCCATGGCGCGCGGAGCGCGCCCGGGGCGAGGGGCCCAGCCCAGCCACGCGCAGAAGGGGGGAGGGGGGAGGCCTTCCCAGGGCCCCTTCTCCTCCTCCTCCTCCTCCTCCTCCTCCCTCCTCCCTCCTCCTCCTCCTCCTCCTCCTCCTCTCCTCCTCCTCCTCCTCCTCCCTCCTCCTCCTCCTCCTCCTCCTCCTCCTCCTCCTCCTCCTCCTCCTCCTCCTCCTCCTCCTCCTCCTCCTCCTCCTCCTCCTCCTCCTCCTCCTCCTCCTCCTCCTCCTCCTCCATGAGCACGGTCTTGTCGGAGGCCGGCGCGGGCGCGCGGGCCCCGCGTGGGAGGCCTTCCCCTTCTCGGTTCCCTCCCTCGCTCGCCGCCGAACTGTGTGACACTCGTTTTCCCCAGCTCGAGAAAGCCGTGCTGTGGGACAGTCGCCTGCGGCTGCAGCCTGCGACGCCTCTCTCGTCGCAAAGTCCAGAGGGCAGCCACGCGCAGACCATGAGATCCTGGCGACTCAATTTTTCCGAGCCGGGCGTTCTTCGCCTTTTTTCGAGTCCCGGGACCCTCACAGATCGATCCGGCTCGAAGAATCACGCGGAAAGATAGGGTCCGGGGCTCTGGACGCGGACCTTCACGGTGTTGCATTTTTTTCGCTGCGTCGGATCTCAGGGGAGGGGGGAGGGGGGAGGGCTTCTTAGAAGCACCCCTGCTTCTTAGAAGGCGCGGGCCTTATCCATAGATACAGGGCCGGCGCCTTCTGAGAAGCAGCCTCCTTCTAAGAAGCCCTCCCCCTCCCTCCACCCCCTCGTGCGCGCCGCCAACCAGCGCCGATCCGAGGAGTCCGCGCGGACCTCCAGAGGTGGAAGTGCTCATGCCTTGGCCTCGCTCGGGCGTGTGCCTTGTTCCTTCGGCGAGGGGCATCGAGGAGCACATCCTGGACCATCGAGCAGAAAGAAAGAAAGTCGAGCAGAAAGAAAGAAAGAAAGAAAGAAAGAAAGAAAGTCGAGCAGAAAGAAAGAAAGAAAGCCTCGCGAGCGTCGAGCAGAAAGAAGAACGCGCGACACCGACAAGTGCACGGGAAATGGACGTCCCAGGACCCTGCCGGGGTACTTGTGTGTATTGATTTGTGTGTCCCAGGAGGAGGAGGAGGAGGAGGAGGAGGAGGAGGAGGAGGAGGAGGAGGAGGAGGAGGAGGAGGAGGAGGAGGAGGAGGAAATGGACGTCCCGGCGCCGTGGCAGGCAGGCCGCCGCTCGCCCTTCTGGCGGCGGGCGCTCTCCGGAGGGGGCCTCTCGGCTGCCACGGGTCGATGACATGCCCGGCAGCGCCTCGGCGGGGGGGCGGCAGCGGCAGGGCGAGGGCGGCCTCCGCACGCGGAGGCGCACAGAGAGATGCCCCTGCAGCCGGGGCCCTGAAGACCCAGACCTCCTGGCGTCGTGAAAAAATCACGACGGGAGGTTTTTCGCTATTTTTGGCCTCCCGGGGGCCCTCACCGGGCCTCGGGAGGGTCAAAAAACGACTCGGGACGACAAACCGGTCCCAGGGAAGGGGTCCAGACCGCTGGGGTCGACGTCATGAAAAATTCATGACGTCGGGGGTCTGGGCCTGCAGTCGGGGCCCTGAAGAAGGAGCCCTTTTCGTCCTGGTGCTCAGGGGCTCTAGGCCTCCCAGATGGGGTCCGAGCAGATGCGGTCGGAGGCTCGCTCACATCGCCGACGCACCGGCGATGCGGCTCGATGTGGAGCCCAATGTGTTCTCCACGCTGGCGTCGCCGATGCGCCGCCGATGCATCGCCGATGCATTGGCGATGCATCGCCGATGTATCGGCCGACCCCGTCTACAGTCGGGGCCCTGAAGAAGGAGCCCTTTTCGTTGGGGAGGGGCTCCGAGTTCCTTGATTGCTTCACAGTTTGCCTTGGGTTTTCCTCTCTGGTTTTCGAGGGGGAATCGGAGTTCCACTCGTGGATGAAAGGGGCCTCGTTCCTTATTTAGGGTTCCTTGGGTCAACGCTCCGACTGTAAGAGTTGTCGATCTTCTTTTGACTCAGGGCTTCCAGGGGCAGGGCGGGGCTATGCTATGAGGAGGGGGCCCTCAGAAAACCCTGCCAGACATCATTCGGCGTTGTGTACCACTCCATCGCGTGCCTAGGGGTGCTGTGGCGGATTTTTGGCCCAGAGCCTCGGGCGCTTGTCTTTCAGCCGGTACGTGGCTGCGCAAGTCGACATGGAGCCCTTCCAGTACCCCCCCGAGCCAGAGTACGTGTACAGCATAAAGAACACTTGGGACAACTACTTCGTGGAGTATTTCCCCTGGCCGTCGAAAAAGAAAACCGCACGAGCACGACCTGCAGGAGGTCCGCGCGGATCCTTCGATCGGCGCTGGGCCCCCCCGTGGCGGCGCCGACGCGAGCAGTCCGCGCGGGCCTCGGGCAGCCCGTGCGCGTGTGGTCGTGCGGCGGCGGACCGAGGGGCGGGAAGTGAGAAGGGCAAGGCCTTCCTCCTCCTCCTCCTCCTCCTCCTCCTCCTCCTCCTCCTCCTCCTCCTCCTCCTCCTCCTCGTGGGCTCCTCAGAAGGCCTCGGGCCTTCTGAGAAGATCTCTGCGTCTTCAGGGAAGGCGTGGAGAGCCTCTCTCGGAGGGCCGGGGGACGTCTGAGCCCTCCGAGAGGGCGCGCCCCTTCTCGCTTCCCGCCGACGCTCGCCGCCAAGATGCCTCTTCTTCCTCTAGGCTGGTCCGGGAGATGTACAACATCCTCCCCATATTGTTCTCGGACGTGCCAGCGGGACTTTGGCGCGAGATAGCCAACATGGGCGCGATCGCCACCCCGAACATCGGAGCGTCTTTCGCCGCCTCCTTCGCGAAGCTCACCTCCTACCTCTCCGAGGTGGACTACGACATCGACAAGCTCGTTAACTTGAACTTCTGGTTGCGCGTGGTCCTGGCCTTCTTGGAAGGCTGGTTCTTTAGGGTGCAACTCCTGGGAGGTTGAATTCAGCATTGGTGCTGTTTGTAGTGGAAATCGGCTTAACCAGACCTAATCCCATTGAGTTCCGTTCATCCCCGCTTTATCTGGCTGAAGTGCAGCTTCATCACGGGCTTAATCTGGGCTGATCCGGCTTGATGGCACCGTAATCGGGCTCGGTAGCTCTAGATCCTTCTCACGATGACCTCCCAGAGGTTGCCTCCTCACCCAGGTTCTTCTTCTTCGTCGTGTGCCTCCAGAAGGTCCAGGACGACGCCGAGGCTCAGCGGACGAAGAACGCTGGAACAGAAAGCTCTTCCGCCAGTGGGGCCGCCTGTCTCAGGGCGGCGGGAAAGTCCAAACCCCTGGCACGTCAGGGCACAGACTTCCTAGACGTTCTGGGGCAGGCCCCCCCCGATGGCAGCGGCGTGCGTGCTCTGCCGTCCCTCGTCCGCTCCAAGAGGCGGCGACCCAGCTGGTGGCCGCGCGCGTCGCGGACCTCGAGGGTGACCTCGGCCTCGGGGAGGACCTGGCTGGGGGCGGCGGCGGCGTCATGGGCGAGGTGCGCGAGGGCCTCTTCGCGGACATGGTCGGGTACGGCTGCCTGCGGGCCAACGACTGTATAGGCGGCTTCGACCAGAAGTCCTCGGGCAAGGACATGGAGCGCCCGGTTGCGCAGGAGGACGTCCTGGTGCTCAGGGGCTCTAGGCCTTCCCAGATGGGGTCCGAGCAGATGCGGTCGGAGGCTCGCTCGCATCGCCGACGCACCGGCGATGCGGCTCGATGTGGAGCCCAATGTTCTCCACGCCGGCGTCGCCGATGCGCCGCCGATGCATCGCCGATGCATTGGCGATGCATCGCCGATGTATCGGCCGACCCCGTCTACAGTCGGGGCCCTGAAGAAGGAACCCTTTTCGTTGGGGAGGGGCTCCGCGTTCCTCAAGTGTTTCACAGCTTGCCTCAGGTTTTTCCTTATGTCTTCCATAGCAAATCGAAGCTTGCCCTGGATTTTCCTTAGGTTTTCGATACGAAATCGAAGCTCAGCGTATGGAAAACAGGGGCCTCGCTCCTTATTTATTTAGGGTTCCTTGGGCCAACGCCCCGACTGTACTCCGACCCCATCCCAGGCCCCCGACGTAATGAGTTTTTCCTTACGTCGACCCCCAGAGGTCCCGACCCTTTCCCCAGGACCGGCTTTGCATCCTGAGCCGTCTTCTGACGCTCCCGAGGCCCGGCGAGGGCCCCCGGAGGCCGAAAATTGGGAAAAACCTCCCGCCATGATTTTTTCATTACTCGAGGGGGTCTGGGATCTGAGAGGCCTCAAGGGGCAGCGCGAGGGGGGGATCGGCTCGGGGCGGGACGCCTCGTCGCCCGAGCGCCCCCCCGTCGCCGACATGGGGCCGTGAGCCTGCCCCGTGCGGGAGCGCGGCCGCGTGCCGTCGGGGGGCCTCCCAGGTGCCTCTCGGAGGCCTCTCGCGTGGGGGCTCCCTGGCGGCCCGTTGGGGGTTTGATGGGGGGCAACCCGCAGGCGTCTTGGGGTCGGAGGCTCGAGATTCGGGGGAGCGTAAGACCCGGGTTTGCCAGGACTCGGGTTCGCCATCGTTTTTTGACGACCGCGCCTCGGATTTTGACGAGGAGGAGGTTCGTTGGATGTCTGCAGCGGGAGGCCTCGTCAAAATGCAGGCTCGGCCTCGTCACTTTTTTGACGACCTCGTCGGGGATTTCCGAGTCCCCTGTACCCGGGTCTTACGCCCCCCTGAGAGATGTCCGTTCGGGTTCCCCCTCTGGGCCCCCTCTCGGGGCTCTCCTGGGGCCCTTTCTGGCTCGTCTTGGGGCCCCCATGGGAGGCCTCTTGACCCGTCTTGGGGCGATCCTGAGTGCCTCTTGGGCCGTCTTGGACGTTGTGAACGCCCGAGAGGCGACACATCGCCAATCCATTGGCGAGGTGTCGCCGATTCCAGGTCGATGCGCCCCCCCCTGAGCCTGAGCCGGTTCCCCCGAACGTTCCCCCTGAGGTGTTCGCTCAGGGCTACGCGAGGTTCCTTGAGCAGCTCTGGTTCGCCAAGAAGAGGAGCGTCTTGGAGGAGCTGTGCGAGAACTGCAGGATGGGGGCGGATGACGGCGCTCTCCAGGGCGTGAATCTGAACGTGGGCCTGGTCCTCAGGCTGGGCACCGAGCTCGCCAAGAGGTACCCGGACTTCTTCAAAGGGGACCAGCGCTTCGCGTCCGCGGCCGTGGCCTTTGTGTCCGCGTTCCTGTACACCATGCAGGATGTTGACATCGACCGCACGCACCTCTTCAACGACGTCCCGTCGTTCCCCGTGGGCGAGGAGTCGCCGGCGGCGAGGGACATGGTGTACAAACCCTACCGCGCCAAGCTCAAGGATTCCCAGGTGGAGAGGAACCCGCAGATGTTCCAAACCGCATGCGGGGCAACGCGGCAGCGGTGGGACATTTACAGCAAGGAGCGGGAGCAGGAGAATGAGTCGATGAAGCTGGCTGACTCCGACGAAGAGCAGAAGCAGCAGCACGCCGAGAAGGTTGCGGCGGACGCGCAGTGGAAGGCGACGGTGGAGACGGAGCTGACCAAGTGGGTAAAATGGGTGACGTTGCTTGGGGTAATGCGGCAGCCTCTTCCCAACGTGACCACGTCGCGAGGTCTTTGTGGCCTTCCGCCATTCATAATCGAGAGCCTGATGCAGAAGAAGCCTGGAGACAGCATCTTCTGGGCGGCGATGTCCAGCACGACTCTGGACTCTAGCATCTCCGAGAGCTACGCCAACCAGGCGGAGCCCGTCGACAGGAACATACTCTTCACGATCGAGAACATCACCGAGGGCCTTGCCCTGCACTCGATCAGCATGTACCCGAAGGAGAAGGAGATCCTGCTACCCCCCCTGACATTGCTCAAGGTACTCGAGGGAGGAAATCCCCCCCCCACCCTGACATGTGCGTTGGCTAAACAGTCCTGGGCGTTCACTGAACAGCCCTGCCCACTTCGACCCCTTCCTGAGGTGCGTTTGCCAAACGGCTTCGCGTGTCGGGAAACTTCTTCTGAGGATGGTGATTCTGTCCTTCAGGTAAAGGAGGCGACTCCACCCGAGACCGACCCGCCGAAGCCCGGCAGGATCGTGTGTGAGTTCGATGGTTGCTACCTGACCGATCGGCTGCAGCGGGCCTGCGAGGAGGACCTCGCGGAGTGCACGGCCCTCCTCGAGGCCGCGGCCAGGGCCAGCGCCGCGGAGCAGCGGCCCAAGAACGGCCTGATCGGTAAAGCAACGGGAGCGAAGCCGGGCAAGGTCGCGCCCGCCTGAACAGAGGCCACAAGCGGCCCGGGCGAGGCCGGGCCCCTGGACGGGGCTAGACCCCCTCACCCTGCTAGTTCATATCTGCCGTCGCCTTTTTCTGCCCTGCTCGTCCTTGACTCCTCCCGCTGCGCACCATACGCATCCTGATCGCCGCTGGCAGGTTCGTCCGTCCGGAGACCGATGCCCCAGCGCCGCGCACATTCGTTTCGAGCGTGTTCCCAACAGCTATAGGGATTGAGGGCGGTTCTTTCTTTAATGCGGCTCTCACCTTATCGCCGCGCACACTCGTCGTAAACATCCAACAGCTACACGGACTGAAGGTGGGGAGGGTGGGGTGGGGGCCAAAACGCGGCTCTCGCGTTTGCCCTGAGCACATTCGATGCAAAAGTCCCCAAACAGCTGCCAGAGTGAAGACTCCGAAGTCTACGACCCACAGTTCCACAGTGTGCAACAGTTGTACGGGTGAGGGCGACTCCTTGTTCAAAGCGGCGTTATGTATTGCTGGACACGTCCCTGAAGTGAATCATCCTACAGTCGGGGCCCTGAAGACGGAACCCTTTTTGTTGGGGAGGGGCTCCGCGTTCCTTAATTGTTTCGCAGCTTGCCCTGGATTTTCCTTAGGTTTTCGATACGAAATCGAAGCTCAACGTATGGAAAACAGGGGCCTCGTTCCTTATTTAGGGTTCCTTAGGTCAACGCCCCGACTTTACTCCGACCCCATCCCAGACCCCCGACGTAATGATTTTTTCATTACGTCGACCCCCAGAGGTCCCGACCCTTTCCCCATGACCGGCTTTGCATCCTGAGCCGTCTTCTGACGCTCCCGAGGCCCGGCGAGGGCCCCCGGAGGCCGAAAACTAGAAAAAACCTCCCGCCATGATTTTTTCCTACTCGAGGGGGTCTGGGATCTTAGGTTCCTTAGGTCAACGCCTCGACTGTACCTTAGGTCAACGCCTCGACCGTACCTCTTCGAGCTGTTCTCACAGGGTGGGTCTTGTCGCCCGCGTGGCAGGCCCGCCGGCGCTCGTCCTTCGAGGGGGGCCCTTTCCGGCAGGGAGAACTCGTGGGATTTCTGAGGGGGGGCGCTGCATCGTTGAGGAGGAGGAGGGGGAGGAGGAGGAGGAGAGGAGGAGGAGGATGAGGAGGAGGAGGAGAGGAGGGGCGGAGGGAGGAGGAGGAGGAGGGCGGAGGAGGAGAGGAGGAGGAGGAGGAGGAGGAGAGGAGGAGGAGAGGAGAGAGGAGAGGGGAGGAGGAGGAGGGGGAGAGGAGGAGAGGAGGAGGAGAGGAGGAGAGGAGGAGGAGGAGGAGGAGGAGGAGGATGAGGGAGGAGGAGGAGGAGGAGGAGGAGGAGGAGGAGGAGGAGTGAGGAGGAGGAGAGAGGAGGAGGAGGAGGAGTAGGAGGAGGAGGAGGAGGAGGAGGAGGAGGAGGCGGAGGAGGAGAGGAGGGAGGAGGAGGAGAGGAGGAGGAGGAGGAGGAGGGGAGGAGGAGGGTAGGGAGGAGAGGAGGAGAGGAGAGGAGGAGGGAGGAGGGAGGAGGAGGAGGGAGGAGGAGGAGGAGGAGGGAGAGGAAGGAGGAGGAGGAGGAGGAGGAGGAGGAGGAGGAGGAGGGAGGAGGAGGAGGAGGGGAGGAGGAGGAGGAGGAGGAGGAGGAGGAGGAGGAGGAGGAGGAGGAGGAGGAGGAGGAGGAGGAGGAGGAGCGGAGGAGGAGGAGGAGGAGGAGGAGGAGGAGGAGAGGAGGGAGGGGGAGGAGGAGGAGGAGGGAGGAGTAGGAATGGAGGAGGAGGAGGAGGAGGAGGGGAGGAGTAGGAGGAGGAGGAGGAGGAGGAGGAAGGAGGAGGAGGAGGAGGAGAGACAGGAGGAGGGAGGAGAGGAGGGAGGAGAGAGGAGTGGAGGAGGAGGAGGAGGGAGGAGGAGGAGGGAGGAGGAGGAGGGAGGAGGAGGAGGGAGGAGGATGAGGAGGAGGGAAGGAGGCGGGATGCTGCATCGTTGATGCATCCTGGGTCTGCGCTCCGGTCCTCTTCCTCCGTCTCTTCGTCCCCGCTCCCCCCCGCTCCCGTCGCCAGACCTCTCGCCCTGACCGCCCCGGGGGCCCGTCATCCCTCCCGTGTCCGACCTGACTCCTCCTCCTCCTCCTATCTCCTCCTCCTCCTCCCCTCCTCCTACCTCCATCTCCTCCTCCTCCTCCTCCCCTCCTCCTCTCCTCCCCCCTTCCTTCCTCCTCCCCTCCTACTCCTCCTCCTCCTCCTCCTCCCCATCTCCTCCTCCTCCTCCTCCTCCTCCTCTCCTCCCCTGCCTCCTCCTCCTCCTCCTCCTCCTCCTCCCTCCTCCTCCCTCCTCTCTCCTCCTTCCTCCTCACTTCATCCTCCTCCTCCTCCTCCTCCTCCTCCTCCTTCCTCCCCTCCCCTCCCACCAACCCCTCCTCCTCCTTCCTCCTCCCTCCTCCCTCCTCCTACCTCCTCCTCCTCCTCCTCCTCCTCCTCCTCCTCCTCCTCCTCCTCCTCCTCCTCCTCATCATCATCATCATCATCATCATCATCATCATCATCAGTTGAGTCCTCTTTTCCTTTCCCTCCTCGCGCCGATTGGACTGGGGCCTCTTATGTTGTCCCTCGCTTGCCGCGCTCCTCTCCATCTCGGTGGGTGCGGTTCCGATTCGACCGTGTCCGGTTGGAGGTGTTTGAGGGGGGGGGCTCTATGGGGCTTTCGAGCCCCAGCCGCGCGTTTCAGCAGGCCCCCTCCTCCTGCCCAGCCTCCCCCTGTTCCCTCCTTCTCCCTTTTGCACTCCTGGTCCTCCCCCTCATGCACATCCCCCTCATCTTCCTCTCGCTCTTATTCCTCATCCTGCCACTCTCATCATCTTGCTGCTCATCCTCCACCACCCTCCCCCTCCCAAGTGCTGCTCGTCCTCATGTTTCCGTTCCTGTTCTTGCATCCCGACCCGACTGGATCCGACTGGAGGTTTTGGTCTGCCTCGGGAGGTCGACAGCCACGACTCCAACTCCCACTCTTGCTGCCCGACTCCTCCTCCACACCTCCCCTATGATCCTCTCATGTTGCTGCTTCACCTCCTCCGACCATCGCGCGGGCAGGTGCTCTCTTTGATGCGGGCCGTGTTTCGGCTAGCACTCTTTGCTTTTCATTTGCAGCGGGATGCTGCCTCGACCTGGCGTGCCACCCGCAGGCGCGCCAGTGTCAGGAGACCAGTTTTCGGCTGTCTGCATTCCATGAAGTTGTCGAATTCAAAACCAGCTACCTGGCGCGGGTCGTGGTGCGGCTGGCGTGCAGGCAGCCCATTTCAGCGGGTAGCTGCCACAGTGGAGTTCCCCGCGCGGGCCGAGGATCGGCCTGCGCGTGGGTTCCGCAGCGCGGCATCGTTCGCGTTGTGCGAGGTGCTTGCTGTATTTTTCTAATCCACCCAATCCACCTCCTCTTCCTCCTGCTGCTGCTAACGGTTGATGGAGGTGATCCTGCAACCGCCTGTCTTGCCGAGCGCCCCTCGTCTGAACACAGAGGGGGCCGGGGGCTCATTAGGGAAAAGGTGAGACGCGAGAGGTAAGACAAAATTGTGGGGCTCGACCCCAGTAGAGGAGTAAGAGAGAGAAAGAGAGGAGACACCATCATAACATAACATAACACCCATCGGGGGGAGGAATAAGAGGTGGAGGTATACGGCAAAGCACAGATGGTAGGCGTAGGTGGACCCCTTAGGGCCCTGTCTTGGGTCCCCCCCCAGTTGGGTCCCCCGACCTCTTGGGGTCGGTGCCCTGGGGGTGCCTTTGGTCAACCCTCTTGGGGCGCCCACGTGCACAGAGGATGGGAGGTGGGTGGGGATGGGCACTGAGGTAGCCGAAGGATTGTTACGCATTAAGGTTGTCGGTGGCCTTGATGGCCCTGTAGGCGGTTGGCTCTGCAGATGCGCTGGGTTGCACAGAGTTGGCCCTGTTGGCCATGGTGAGCGTGGTCTGTGCTGTGGCCCAAGTGGCCTTGTCAAGACCTGTGGTAGCAGCTGCTGGCCCTGGTGGCCATATTCAAGTGTGTGTGGTGCCCTGGAGGCTAGGCAGCGCAAGAAGCTGCAAGGATGTATGTAGGAAGGCTGCGAGCATATGACTGCGAGTTGAAAAGGTGGGCAGGGCGAAAAGAGTTGCAGCGTCACGAGCTCACGCGGGTAAAGTAGGCCGAGGAGGCGGTGGCAGTTAAAAGGAGGTGCAGTGGTGGAGGGTGCCGACTTTTCCGCGGGGCCCTCTGCGGGGCGCCGCTAGCAGCAAAGAAAGGCTCGAGGGCCTCTTCCTCCGCCCACAGGAAGCCCCCGCAGGCGTCCCTGAGGCCGACGGCGGGCGCCCTCGCTTGCAAGCGGGCGGGCGGCTCCCAGCACGTCGGGCTCCTGGCCGCCTTGGGGGTGTCCACCAGGCCCGAGGGAGGTCTGGGCCCTCCCCGCGCGGTGGCGCGCTGCGGTGCTGGCCACATTCGCCAAGGCTGCACGGGTGGCGGAGGCAGGGTGAAGGTGGCGGAGGAGGAGGTGAATATGGAGGTGCCCGAACGGCCGCAGCTGCCGAGGTGAGGTGGGGGTGCCTTGACGGATGCAGCTGCTGCTCCTGAGGCCCCGTTGGTGACAGCAGCTGCTGAGATGAAGGTGCCCTGATGGCCACTGACACGTGGCTAGTTGCGGCCGTGGCCGCCCTGGCCCTTGCCGGGACGGCCCGCGGTGAGTCCGAGCCCCCACTTTCCCCAATAACGTATCTCCGCCCATCCCGACTCCACATGAGGGGGAGGTTGTAGGTTAGCGGGACGAGGCACCAGGACCAGGAAGGTGGTGAAGGTTGGGGAAGGAAGGTGGGATCAGGTCACGAAATTGATGCAGGCGGTGCAATTGAAGTAGTCGCCATATCCAAGGTATTGCCGGCATTCGTCAGTACTCTGCCGCAGGTGAGGAAGATGCGTGGGTAGGTGCGCTCGTAGGAGACGGGGTCGCACGGTCAACCGCTGTAAGGTCGGTCCGACCCTGGGGCATGGCCTCAGTGTAGTGGCGTCCAGGTGGGGTAATCCTGGTTCGCTCGGAGAAGGTCGAGTCGTGGGAGTCGTGGAGAGAGTCAGAGTGTGAGTGGAAGAGGTCGGCTGGAGCGTAGGTCGGAGAGGTCGGACAGG